TGAAACCTCCCCTGTGCTATTTGTCTCTGTCTATAAAAACGCTGTACCAACCCTGATCGAGGCCTCTGCTCGTCACTGGCGACGAGTGCGCAGAGGTCCAGGTTCGAACCTGCAATAAACGACCCTTGCCGCTTGGCTTTGACTTACGACTCTGGTGGACTTTTGTGGGAGGTTTCGGAACTTCGGGCATTACAAGCTCATGACCTGAGCCAAAGTCGGACACTCAACTGACTGAGCCACCCAGGCGCCCCTGATTAGGTGATTGCTAATGTCTCTCATACTCTGGCACTGTATGATATGTCCCTTAAACCACAGCGGGGAGTATCTGCAGAATACCAAAGCGAGAGGGGACAGGATCAAACAGTTCCTGGCTGCCCTTTCAGACCCACACAAACAGGAGTCCTCCTTTAGAAGCCCCAGTATGGGTCCTCCTTTTGCCATTCAACACTCCTTGGCTGGAGTGTGGTATTCCAGGCTACATGCCTATGAGAGTCCAGGACCCCATGTGTAGACGACTCCCCAAGCGCCTAAGCCCTGGATTCTCCACCCAGATGCCTGTTTCCTGGTCCTCACTGACTTCTCCCCTGGTCTTTCCTTCTGAGGGCGGACCAAGCTGCTGATGTGCACACCCTCAGGCAACAGGGACGGCGAATGGATTGCCATTTGCCGCAATAGGTGGTAGACAGGGCCAGGGTTGGCCGGGTGTCTGCCCATGTGCACGGGGGCCCCCTTCGGAGAAGGGCAGAGCGAGAGGTGCACCAGAACAAGGGTTAGAGGCCAGTTCTCTCCGCATTGCCTCTTTTCAAAGTGGAAAATCAAGCAGTCTGAGAAATCTAAATTTGAATGTGGTCTTCCCGGTCACTATAAAAGTGTATTTGTCAGGATGGAAGGGGAGAAAATACTGTATCCAAGAGTTTGCTGGCTTAATTAAGTTTTTACACAAATGGTATATGAGCGTCCGTGTGAATTCTGAACTTGGTTCACTAATGTCAGGGGCAGTCCTGCCTCTGAGCGTCACGCTGTTTCATAAACTGGGCTCAGCCGGGTTGTGAGGGGACCTCGCAGAGGACTCTTCCTGGCCCAGCCGGTGACTTCTGACAGAAGGAGAGCTGGGCTGAGAACCTCGAGCAGTAGCTCCTGTTAAGAATCAGCAACAAGCCCAAGGGAACACAGATGCCAGAGATGAGGGAACTCCTGGGGAGAGTGATAGCACACGGAGCTGGCACTTAGTAGAGTAGCGATTATTCGACCTACTTCTAGGCCCAACTATACCCCGAACTCCAGCTGTGTCAGGGAAGGTTAAGGCAAAACACAGCTTTTGAGTGCCCCTCAATGCGGGAGTTCGTGCATTGCGATCTTTGGTTTTCGCTGACATAGCTTACTTTTTTCACTGCGTCATCCAAGAAAACAAGCAGGACGGCCCTAAGTCTGCACTCACCAGCCTCCTGTTGCCCCACACACGCATGCACACATGTGCACACACATGCATACGCACACACACATCCTCCTGGCCCCAAGCAGAAATAATTTAAACTGTTTAACGATGATTCATCTTTAACGATGATTCAATGTTAAGATCATTTTACATGGTTGGGTGGGGGGGACAAAGAAGCATCAGAGGCTATTAAACTTGACAAAAGCATGTGAACAAGAATACAGTAGAGAAGCTTCTAAGCTGGAAGGGATTTTCAAATTCGTCTAATCCAGTGGTTCCCAAACTTTGGGGAGCGTCAGAATCACCTGAAAGGCTGTACTAACTGATGGGTGGCCCTGCCTAGAGTCAGTAGATCAGGGATGGGGTCCGAGGATTTGCACTTCTAACATGCTCTCAGGAGATGCTGGTGCTGGGGGTTTCCTAAACCACAGCATGAGAACCACTGGTGTGGCCGAACCTCTGGTTTTAATTGTGGAGAAATTAAAACTCAGAGAAGCTAAGTGTCTTGCGTGAGGTCATAGCAGCTACTGAAGAGCTGACACTAAGACCTTGATTTATTGAATCTCTACTCTCAAATCTCAAGAAATTGTAGCAGCCTTCAATTTGACCCAGGCCCGCTCCCAGGTTGTACCAGTGACTCAACCCTTTTTGTTGCCTTAACGTACATCAAACTCCCCTAAGAGGACATCTCTGGTTTAGGGAGACTGCCTCTACGAGATATTTCAAAATCTCTAACTATCTGGGTCAAGAACACTTTTTCACGGAGTTTGGAGAAGTTCCCCGGGTGGTCCTGATGGGCACCTGCCCTTGGCTGAGCCCCACCCTGAGTCCCACTCTTGGGAATGGGATCTCATCCATTCCCACAGTGTCCCCAGGCTTCTGCCATGTGCATCTTTTCATATCTAAGTAGGCATATCTAAGTGAGCATCTCAGCCTTGATGGCTCACAAACATCCCAAACTCCAAATGTCCCAAAATGAAACCATCATCTCCAACCTCCCAATCTCTCTCATGTTCTCTATAGCTCAGAAACCTGCAGTACCTTTAACTGCTCCCCTTATGTTCCAAATACAGCCCTGATGCTGCCCCAGGAGACCACAGGATATAAACTCTCTGAGCACAAGGACTTTTGTATTCACCCTTTATTCTTGACACCTGTGATAGTCTCTGGAACACAATAAGCATTCCATAAATGTCTGCTGTCTGATTGACTAAATGTTTGCCTGAATAAATCCCTATCTTCCTGCTAGCACTTCTGCCATGACCTTAGTTCAGCCTTCTATCAAACGGGACTAACATCCCCAAATAGCCATACACCTGGATCTGCTCTTTCAGGTGCTCAAGGTACCACAGGACAGCCAGAAAAGAAGAAACCATGAGGGCAAGAGCGGGTCTTCTCTCCAACACTAGACCCCTGTCTTGCTCGAGACCAGAGTCCATTTTCTCCAGGCCAGAGACCCGCTGAGGTTTAGCTTAGGCTCCAGTCTGAAGACTAAAGGGAATGTGACCCCTGGGGGTCAGGGGCTGCTGCAGAAAACTGGATCACCTTTTCAAAGAAGGGACACTGGGGAAGGGCCAAAGTAATATTTACCCCTAATATTAATTCTCCTCATCCCATGAGCCTGAGGCTGCAACCATATAGAAGATCCTTGTAAGGGCTAGGGACCGTAATGTCTATAACCAGCTTCTTATAAAGTTCTCTTGGATGACCTCAGGAAAATGGCCTATTCTCACAGAAGACAGCCTTCGTAATTCTTCTGGCTCACTGCTAGATGAATGACATTTTGGGTTCTTGTGACTACAATGAGGGTCTTTATGAGGAGAAAGAGAATCACCACGAGAGCACCACCATTAGTGACAGTTGCTGCCAGCAAAATCCATGAGTGAATGCAAACTTTAATGGGGAAGCTTTGATAAAGAGGACATTTGCACAGCCTCAAAGAATAGTTACTAATCACTGTGGTGGTTTTAACGTGTGTCCACAAATGCTTTGATAGTCTTCCTCCGGAAGGTGGAGCTTAATTTCCCTCCCTTGAGTGTGGGCCGGATTTAGCGGTTTACGTCTAATAAATGGAATGTGAAAGGGAGAAATGGTAGCTTTACAGTGGAGAAAGATGGCAGGCACCATTTTCACCAAGTGACCCAGGTTAACATCACCAGTGAGAAGACACGTTGGTATCATTTGTCCCCTGATTTGATTGGATGTGAAGGATAATTCAACCCTCTGGTATTCCTGCCCAAAATGCACAGCCCCAGTCTAATCATCAGAAAATATTCGACAAACCCCAATCAAGATGACGGTTTCCAAAATAACTGACCAATAGTCTTCAAAAGTGTCAAGGTCATGAAAGACAATGAATCTGTCACAGATTGAATGAGACTAAGGAGATACAACAAAATGCAATGCAATGTGGTACCCTCGATTAGATTCTGGAATAGAAAAAAAGACTGGAAAAGCTGATAAAATTTGAATTAAGACTGTACTTTAGTTAATAGCATTGTGTTAATGTTAATATCCTAGTTTTGATAGGGGCGCCTGGGTGGCTCAGTCAGTTAAGCATCCGACTTCGGCTCAGGTCATGATCTCACGGTCCGTGAGTTCGAGCCCCACGTCAGGCTCTGTGCTGACAGCTCAGAGCCTGGAACCTGCTTCAGATTCTGTGTCTCCCTCTCTCTCTCTGCCTCTCCCCCACCCAAGCTCTGTCCCTGTCTCTCTCAAAAATAAATAAACATTTAAAAAAATTTAAAAAAAAAATCCTAGTTTTGATAAATGTACCATGGCAATGTAAGATATTAACGTTGGGAAAAGCTGAGTGACAGATGTATGGAAACTCTATACTCTTGCCACAATTCTTCTAGAAATCTAAAATTAATCCAAAAACTAAAATTACTGAAGAAAAAAATGTGGATCCTTCCTTTTCATCATAATCCCAGCAGGAGACCCTTTTCTCTCAGGCAGGACCCCTTTCACTAGGCAAGGCTCTCTCCCTCCTGGAGCAAGACTGTCTCAGGTCCTGCAAATCAACAACAAAAAGCTGGTATCATCCGTCATTGCCCACTTGTGGTGACTGGGCAGCCCTGTAATTCATCGCTCCTTCTCATACTCTCAGGATCAGGTTTCTTTCCTGTCTCCTCCTGCCAGCACGGGCTCCACACCAGATGGCTGTACATCTGGTGAAGGGTGTCCAGGCTACACCTGCCTTAGGAAGAGGTTTCCTCCTTTCCCTTGTGCCGGGCTACAATCTGGCCTCTGCAATTTTCAGGATGGCAGCAAAAAGCATTTTGCCAAACCTTCACCAGGCTCCTTCCTGGTGAAGTCACTGGGTTAGCAGAACATGAAGCTTAATGAACAATGAGCTACATAAGCATGTACACGATCACAAAAGGTTTAAAATATCTTGTCCTACAGAGAACAGAGATTAACAGTCATTTAAAAATGGAAAAGGAACCAACTGTATACCTTATCCCACAATGCTGGAAACGTTAAAGACTGTAGGTTCATAGTTTGGGCATGTGAAAGATGGTGATAGCTGTAATTTAGGAACCACTGTCTCTAAGCCTGACACTCTTCAGCACTTTATAAGGAGGGTCCCTTCCACCACTGACCCAACTCCATAGGACAGTTTGGGCAAATAGGAAAAAGATTTCCTGTCTCTTGGCAGACACAGACCCCCAGGCTGGGCAAGAGGACCGGACAGAGGATGGAATTTCTGCCCCCAGGCCACTGCACCCTCAACCACTCAAGATTAACAAGGCGATCCCCAGCTGGATTCCAGAATTCTGCAACTCCTGGCGGCATATAAACGGCCCAACATTATGAAGCTTGTTTTTTTGACAGCTCTGCAAGGTAGGTGTTGTTATACCCATTTTTAAAAGGAGGAAACTGAGAACAGCCGATTACTGACACATTCAAGACCATAGAAGGAAGAATAGCCAGAATATGACCCCAGACCTCTTTGGCTCCAAAAGGGATATTTGCAATCATTCGCAGGATCATGTGATGAAACAGCCATTGGAATGGTGATGGCAACAGAGTTACTACAGGGGCAGGGGTTGCTGGCAAAATCCTATCAGTTGCATATCTTGCTTATTCTGCTTTTGCACCCAAACAGCAAGTCTTCCCTTGTCCTCTGCCCTTTCTTAGTAACATCCTAAAAGGTAACATAAGAAAATGGAAAAATTTTTATTTCCCCAGATTCAGGGTTAGGGACAAACCAACCTAGCAAGTTATTCCTCAATAGAGAAATAGTGGTTGGGAGTGCAAACTGGTGCAGCCACTCTGGAAAACAGTATGG